ACTCACCCTCTCTCTCACACTCACCTTCTCTCACACTCACTCACCCTGTCTCTCTCACACTCACTTTCTCTCACACTCACTCACCTCTCTCACACACTCACCCTCTCTCACACACACTCACCTTCTCTCACACTCACCCTCTCTTTCACACACTCACCCTCTCTCACACTCACTCACCCTGTTTCTCTCACACTCACCTTCTCGCACACTCACTCACCTTCTCTCACACACTCACCCTCTCTCACACACACTCACCTTCTCTCTCACACACTCACCCTCTCTCTCACACACTCACCCTCTCTCTCACACACCGTCTCTCACACACACACCCTCTCTCTCAGACAAACTCTCTCTCTCACACACACCCTCTCTCACACACACTCACCGTCTCTCACACTCACTCACCCTCTCTCTCACACACTCACCCTCTCTCACACACACACTCTCTCATACTCAGCCTTTCAGGCACACACAAACCCTCATTCTCACAAACTCACTCAGAGACACACACATCCTCTCACACACACTCACTCAGACACACACTCACCTTCACTCTCACACCCAGAGAAACACAATCTCTCACACTCGCTCTTTCTCTCTCACATACTCTCTCACACTCTCACATTCACACACACACATGCAGACACACACTCAGCCTCTGTCACACATTCACACAAACAAATGCATGCATCCTCTCTCTCACACACTCACTCAGACATACTCTCACCCTCTCTCACACACACTCACTCAGAGACACAGAATCACCCACTGTCCCAAAACACTCAGCTTCTCTATCACATGGTCACCCTGTCTGTCACACACTTACCCTCCCTCACATTGGGGACGCAATGGCCTAGTGGTATTACACTAGACTATTAACACAGCAACTCAACTAATGTTCTGGGGACCCGGGTTCAAATCCTGCCATGGCAGATGGTGGAATTTGAATTCAATAAAAACCTGGAATTAAGGGCCTCCGCTTTTCATACACTCAGAGACACACATTCACATTCACTGACAGACCTATACTCACCCCTTTCTGTCACTCACACTGGCAGACACTCTCACCCCTCTCTGACGTCCACAAACTCAGTTACCCCTCTCTCTCACACACACACAGACAAATACTCACTCCTCTCTCACTCACATACAATCACCCTCTCTTAGACACATACTCACTCCTCTCACCCTGTCGTTCACAGTTAGAGAAACTCACTTTTCTCACACTCTCTCAGAGGCACACACATCTCTCTCTGTGTCACACTCAGACACAGTCATCCCTTTGACTCATAAACTCACAGATGCACACTCATCTCTCACTCGCACATTCACAGACACACACACTCATCCCTCTCCCTCGCTGACATTCACTTAGACACACAATCACCCTTCATTCTCTCTCACTGACGGACACAACGTCAGCAGGAGATAGATTCACCTCTCTCTCACACTCTCATTCAGAGACATATTCTCACCCCTCTCACACACTCACAGACATTCGCCCTCTCTAACACATACTCACTCCTTTCTCTAAGTCGCACTCAAATACGCCTTTCTCGAATTCACACTCACAGACATACGCTCACTCCTTTCTCTAACTTACTCTCACTCACAGAAATACACTCCTTTCTCTCACTCACTCACTCACACATTCACAACTAATAACTCATTGTTGGGAGATTTGACGGGAGATTGCGATAAAATGAACGGCAGCGTGCTATCTGCAAGAGTGGAAATGTTTCGTTATACTTCCAAATATACCAGAGAGGGGCAATGGATTTATTCCTGAATAATGGAGGCTGATTCATTTAACGGAATTCTGGACTGGTCATGTTGGAGAGGTTGTTGGCTATCTCTGTGAAAAGCTAGCGAATAGATGGCGTTTTAAACGGACTTCAGTGAAGGAACTCGGCCAACATTAAGGGTTAATTTTCAATGATGGGTTACTGTCAGGTTTAATCGGATTGTGTTAAACCCGAGTCAGAATATCATTAATTCCTGCAGCAACCCCTCTCTAGAATTGTTCTAATCTCAGAACACGGAAAAGAAACATTTGCAGGATTTCAGTGGGTTTGAGGGAACTCAGGGAGCTGGTGGTTTCAGAAACCAGGGGGAGGAGTCAATATGAGAACCCCATTTAACCGCAAAGTACCGAATTAAACTTCAGTAAAAGATTAAAGAGAGGTTCAGAGAGAGCCAGAGGGAGAGCCGGCTGTGAATTTTGCAGCCCTAAGCTCCGCCTCCTAACTCTAGAATTCTGTGTGTGTTTTTTAATTAAAATGATTTATGCGGAATAATTTGAAATCCTATCAAGGAGAAATAAATTTCGCATTTCTGCGTATATAAATTAACTGGCAATAATAAAAACAGTGATCCAAAGTCTGTATCGGGGTCAGCGAATTCGATTCTGCCGGCTTCGAACAAGGAGATTCTCCTCTTCGCTAACATATACCGGACTGGGCTCCGGATCAAACACAATGCCCAAGATACACACAGCAATCCGCAGCTCCCTCGCTTTGCTTAGAACTAAACAGAAAGGCTGCCTTCCAGCTCGAACCCCCTTTGCAAAAATGCTCTCCCCTTTTTAGTTACAACGCAGTCACAGTTTCATTGATGGAATAAAAATGTGGGACTGGGAATCGAGTTTAGACCAACGGCCTTGGGAGGTTTGGATATGTAATGGGACCCTGTGCTGTTCCATTAGAAGTGTGTGGATTGAGAAACGGCGAAAGCATGTTGTATTCCTAATCATTAACCGGCGGATAATCGAGTCCTTTTTAACGTTTCATCAAATATTTTCTGATTGCCATTCTGTTACCCACACCGCCCCTCCCACCCCCTACCCCCGCCATCAGCCTGAACTGACTCCACTGAGATCGGATTTCCACGATCTGATTTGTATTTACATTTCAATCTCCCGATATTATTTCGACATTTAATTTCTCTCACTCTCTGTCAAAGACTCTCGAAATGTTCGAAGGCAAAAAGAACGGATATGGTTTGCAATGCGGCGGAAATATCACAACATTTAGCGAAATGATCAGAAATGAAATTGGATCTTACCTCTTCGAGCACAGCTCCACTCGAATGGAGAAGTAACAATATTAAAATAGTTGTTTAAAATAAAACGAACTTTGGACATTTTCAATGTTAAATGTTCCTGGTGGCGAGTTTATAACATATCAAAGGCGGTTTACTTAGGATCTCAGATCCTAAAATAATACTTATAATTAATTTATAAATATATATGAACAAACAAACAAACTGGAATAAGGATGACAAGTGTCTAAAGCGTTATAATTCAGAGGAGCCCCTCCTACTCTTTCGGACTAGTAATTAATGGTGTTTTCAGCTAAGCTTCGTCCGCATTGGATAGAAAAGCGAGATAGCAGAGGGAGAGAAAGTGGCATTGCATATAATTGATTACCACCCAATCAACAATAACTTGTTAGCAATCGTCAATTGCCCCGTCTCTCCCTCCTTTCTCACTCTAAAGAGAATATTATTCGCTTGTCTGCATACTTGATGTGACAGAACAGGCCGGAACGTGAGAGAGAGAGAAAGAGAGACAGAGAGAGAGAGAGAGAGAGGGAGGAAGAGGAGGAGAGACTGGACTGGGGACCGCGCTTGTATCTTGTGTGAATTTTATCATTCACCGTCCCGCTTCTGCTCGACAACCGGCCCTCCACCGGATTCAGAGGGAACCTAGCTCCTTGGAGACAGCGGCTGTGAAGTTAGCTTGAACTTTTGCGGATCCCCTGTTCTGTGGAGTGTTGTCGTTGGGGTGTGTGTGTGTGTGTGTGTGACGGGGGGTAGGGAGTGAACACTTAATGCCAAGAATGAGTTCGAAAGAAGAGGCCAAATCTTCCTCTGGCACCTTACATTCTTCTGTTGAAGAACGGAGAAGGAGTCCTCTTGATCATTTACCGCCTCCGGCTAACTCCAACAAGCCGCTAACTCCCTTCAGTATTGAAGACATTCTCAACAAACCGTCGGTGCGGAGAGGCTACACTTTGTGCGGAACCAACCATCTCCTGTCTGCGGCGGACAAACACACACCTTCGGGTATCCCCTTGAATAACCGGGCCGGGGTTCTGACCCAGACCTCCCCTCTCTGTGCCTTGGAGGAATTAGCGAGTAAAACTTTTAAAGGTTTAGAAGTCAGTGTCTTGCAAGCAGCTGAAGGTGAGCTTCATTTTGTTTTTGTTTTTCAAAAAAAAACTTTACGACCAAATACTTGTAAAAAAAATTACAAGTGCCGTTCACAAATTAGTAATTACTGTACGAAGCTGTTCGAGGGACAAAGTTTGAAAGGCGACAATAGTGTTTCGTTGAAATATTTTGTTATCTTGTCAGGATCTCAAGCAGATAGAGTAAGAAAAATTGTCCTCGTTTTGTATAATTATGCGGGACAGGAACAGGGCAGAATGATAGCAGGTGAAAGTGAGTGTGTGAGAGAGAGAACTGTGCCTTGTTTATGTTTCTGTAGTAAAATCTTCCAGTCCAACTTTGCAGATAATAGTTCGTTTTTTTTCAATTCCCCTGGGTCGGTATATTTTAATTTGAGTGCGATATTGGTGGGGAATTTAACCCAAGTTGTGAACATATTTTACTCTCAGAGTGATGGACATACAGGGAGTAGATTCTAGTGGGACCTGATGCCCAGTGTCAGAGCGAAGTCTGTGTAGATGAATATTTCTCGCTTGCGGGTTGGTTTTAAATAAACTCTGTAACAGGTTTGCTCCGAGGTGAAATGGTCTTGAAATCCCTCTTTTCTCTGTTCTAAAAAGGGTCTGTTTTAACAGGGAGAGATGGTCTCTCTATCTTTGGCCAAAGATCGACTCCAAAGAAGCGCAGAAAGTCCCGGACCGCGTTCACCAACCACCAGATATACGAGTTGGAGAAGCGTTTCCTGTATCAGAAATATCTGTCACCGGCTGACCGGGATCAGATCGCTCAGCAGCTCGGCCTGACCAATGCTCAGGTCATCACTTGGTTCCAGAATCGCCGGGCCAAACTCAAAAGAGACCTGGAGGAGATGAAAGCGGACGTGGAGTCCGCGAAGAATCTCGGCCCGAGTGAGCTAGACAAAATTACCAAAATGGGCGAAATAGAACAAACTGCGGCGGAAATCGGCAGTCAGTCCAGATCGCAGTCTCCTATCGCACGGAAAAGTGCCCACGCCAAAACACCAGATGCCCACATCTCCCCTTCATCGCTCGCAGTGGGACACCCGCCCAGAAAGGACTATTCCGAGGAGGATGAAGAGGAAGAGGAGATTGATGTCGATGACTGATTCCCCTCCTTTTTTTTTAATTTTGCTTCTCTCTCACACATACTCTTCTCCCCATTTGTTCCTTTTTTCTAAAAAAAAACTTACAAAATCTATTCCAAAAAAAGAGAGAAAGACTTTCTCCATCATTCAAATCAAAGCATGTTCGGGGATTGAACCAGTAAATGCTCTCTCATTCTCTACTTAGAAACGGGCTCAACGCGAGGTAGAATAATCCCAGAATTGTTTTTAAACAAAGCAATAATTAATCCTCCACACTAAGAAACGGATGCAGATTCGGCAGAAGTCCGCTCATTGGGCCCCGTCAGCTCTTCCATAATTTGTAGAAATGATAAATTCAGCGCAATTCTTTCTAGAGTGAGAATGGACTGGGGTTATTTTTGCTGGTTTTTAAAAATGTGGTCCTCTGGTCAAAATAGTGAGCTCCCACGTCCCTGTTGCTGTGCAGCAGTTTCAAGATGGGATTTATAAGAATGCTTCTTCTTCCTTCAACCTTTTCTCCTTGATTTTAGTGAAAGAGTATATGCCGGGTTTTTTTTCCCCTCCTTTGAAATTGCATGTCGCAAATCTGCACGACGTTATTATTTTTAAGAGATCAAAAAGACTGGACTTCCTTGTAACTTTCTAGATATTTCCTTTTTTTGTCGATACATTCTCCAGACAATTTATTATACAGCGCTCCGAGAAATTCTGCCTCTTCAATATATCCTATTAAAACCTATTTTTGAGATTCCTCACAGTGGTTTGTGAATTTATTTTTTTGGAAAAAAACTTTCTTTTTTTAAAAAAAAAGCAAATTCCGTCGCGTTTGTCCTGTAGGTTAATTTTTAAATGGAAAGATGAATATTTGTAAAAATTCAGTTTTGTTTTGTATGTGCTTTATTTTAGAGATGCTGGCGGGATTTGGTTTTTTTAAAAATATATGGTGTAAATACCTTTTTTTTAAAACAAAAAAGCCGGTGAGTTTGGAACTACTGGTTGCGGGCACAGAGACTGGAGATTTCAATCTCCAGCCGAGAGATACCAGCCTAGAGCTCGCTAATTTACTAAAGCTACGCGTGTGAGATCTAATGGACCCCCTCAGTCATGTTAAACCTTTTCAAAAAAAAACAAATCATTTACATCCCAATAGACCCGCCTTTGTAACACATTCACTGAGAAACGCATGTTCACAGATTTGAGACAACAGTATGTAGCAGATTTAACTCTCTCCTTAGATTATCCACCTCTTAATATGATTCGGATAAATCTGATATGTTGACAACTGTATTTGTAATTTTTAAAAAAAGAGAAATAGTACAAAATTTCAAACCATTTGAAGTTTGTATTCTGATCAGATTTAAACTGACTCCAATCTCGAAATGGAGAGGGAGAAAAGGGGAGGAAACAGAAATTTTTTTTAACAAAAAACTGTAAAATGTGATCATGAGGTTTTAGAAACCGTTACGATTATTCGCCTCGACCTGTGTTCTAAACGAAGATTAACAGGTTTACTTAAAAAAAAACGTGTAAGGACCAATCTGTGAGTGTAATGTGTGGCAAATGTGGTTTCCGTATGGTACAAGGGTCGGCAATATTGTACACAGATGCACACAGGCCAATCCAATAAATACTAGCGAGAAAGAGGAGGGGGTGGAGGGGGGAGGAATCAGAGACTTGTAAACAGAGATATCCTGGCTGTTCAAACACTGTGAACAAAAGTGAAATTTATGTGAGAACGCAAAATCTGTTTTTTTTCTCTGAGAGCGAGAGAAAAAAAGATGCCAATTTTTTTTGCCGTTTTTGGGCCATTTTCTGCGGGCAGTGAGTCTTTGAGAGTGTATGGCTCGGTTAATGTTAGCGGAACGCATAGCAACTTGGGACAAATGATTTCACAGTGTTGATGTGTCAGTTGACAATGGCCTATACAAAGTCCCCTGCTGCTCCGGTCTAAAGCAGACTACAGCCGCACCAAGTGTTTCCTCCTCGGCCGAAAGCAGCGAAACCGCTTGGACACCATATGGTTTATGAATTTTCTAAACAATTTCGAGACAATTTGATGGATTGGTCAATTCCACCCCTTCAATGTTTATCGCCATTTACAAAAGCACTAATATATACATGGCGCTTCCAGGGGCATCTGCAGTGTTAATGTTGCTTCTCGCTGGCATTTTGTGGGCGATGAATCAGAATGAACCTGCCCTTTTTTTATTTATCTAGAAAGGAAGGGGAGGAGACACTTTTTAAAAAGGCCACTCTGCCTTTATTTTAGAGGCCAAAATTAAGTTGGTTTTGCCTTTCTACTGAATTAGCAACATCGAGAGTGTAAATAATCAGTGAGGGCTTATTGAAGGAGTTGAGACATTTACGAGCTCTGTTTAAGGCGACACTCGTCTCTTTTGTCTGCGCTGGATTGGGCCATTTTAGAGGTTTTTAAATATTCTCTGTAGAGTTTTTCTCGCCCCCAACCCCAACCCATTTTAATGGGTTTAAAAACAAGGCGTTTTCAATATAATTTAAACAGGGTGGAATAAACACAATAAAACAAAGGCGCTGTTTCCAGTAAGCACACCCGGGTGGATATGTTAACGCTGGGTTTATCCGACACACTCTTCCTACAAAACACAACTTTTGTTCAGGAATGGAATCAGACCGAGGCGAAATTAGGAAGCACGTGAATTAAACAAGAACAAACATCTCGCATCCGGAATACACTCTTTAAATATCTCGCCTTATTGGAAACCCTCCGAACACAATGTCTTTTAATTGCACATTTATTCCACACTTGTGACTTCGTTAACTTTGTCAACATTATGTTTATTTCCCGTCTCCCACTCTACTGCCATTTTTTAATCGTTTTTTAATCTCTTTATTCACTGTCTATATTTTGTTCACTGATTTAAAACTGATTTTGTTTTAAATGATGAATGCGGTCGATATTGCGAAGCAAAACATAACGTCCCAAAGTTGGTATATTCCGCACAGAGTCGGTGATATTTAACAGAAATGTGTGTACAGCCTTTCTAAGCCTGGATATATTTGTTTTCAAATCAGAGCGGAAACTAAAACACACAATCGTTTCGTTACACAAAGAGGAAGCAGTTGAAAATATTTCAGCAGAATGGAATTAACACAATCGTCGTGGATTTATCCCAGAAATTCAGATATTTTGCTCAAAATTACGGACGAATGTATAAATTGTGCGGCAACTTGACCCAGCTCTCGCTCTGGCCTCAAGTCCTCACCTGCGTTCTCTCCTCGATCATAGAACGAAACATTTCTTTTTCCTCACTAAACTACACACTCTAACATTTGAGCCCCAACAGATTATACCCTCTAGCCTTACCAACCTGTCCCGTTACTAGCTGAGTGAGGATGGGGCAAGGTGGGGAGCGTGTGGTTGGTGACTGATTATCTCAGGGAAGGCACAGAAACGAATACTGGTCGATTTCTTTCTACGAACTATAGAGATGCAACAGTAAGGGAGCAATTTGCTGTGGCGGGAATAAGGGGTCACAAGGAAGGGAAAGCGAATGGCATGATTCCGTGTTGACTGTGTGTGAGCGTGTGAGAGGAAGGCGCCAGGTGATGGGGTAGTCAGGGACAGGAGGCAGCAAGGTTGTACAATTTCCAGCATGAATCAGTTTTCAGAAATTGACCAGATCAGGACTGTCAGTGGTGTCATGTGAAGACAGCGATCATTTCTGAATGTCTGTTGAAATGGGAGAGAGAGATTTCCGCTCCATTCCAGGAATCATAAGTATTCCAGGGAGAACAGCAACTCCCAACTCAAAGCGCCAAGTGATAAAAGTTTTCTTTAAAAAAATGCTGAGATCCCTTGAAATTATTCCAGATTAAATATCAAAACCCTGTGGAGACAAATTTAATATCTGTTTGTAAAACGTAACCTCCATATTTTAAATTTAATAAGGCGGTGGGCTGTGTCTACAGCTTTCTGTCAGTCATACAGTTATCGCAGGTTTATTCTGAGGTAAAATCGTTTGCAAACAGTTAGTAATGGGTGCATGTCTGAAACAGTAAACTGGACACCAGTTTAAAAGGATAAATCGCCCAGTCCGTGCACTGCCCCGCCTTTAGCCAGTAGGTCAACCTCTCCCACTGTACACATTTACTAATAAACTTCAAATACACACAGTAGCAATGCGTTTTTTTTTAAACTTTACATCAATGGTATGTTATTTTCTGTGCTAACCTCACACGTAAACTGTGGAATTATCACACATACAAATTCAGTTTAGTTTATATATTGGGTATATTTTATACACACATATGTAATTTATATACACAATATCCTACATTAATATCTAAACTATCCTTAGCGTTTGACGAATACTAGCATGTATAAATATTGTATTCGGTTCGAAACACAACCTTCGTATACATTTTCGTTGCAAAATAAGTAACTTCGTTACACAGAGAAATTCGGTTACTGTCCAAATCTTGTTTTATAAACTGGCTTTCCAGGTTAGGTAAAAAAATTGTGTGTTTCAACTACACTCTACGCACCCACCAGTTAGATGGATACTCTGCACATAAATATAATTTTACAGGTCAGGGACTAAGGGGGTTAAGGGGTCTATGGAGAAACTCCCAATATGTGTTGGTGCAGAATAGGTGATAGGGATCTATGCGAGAAACATTAGCGGTTTAATTCACCAGCTCGCATAATTATTTGTAAGTAATTCACAGCCGCCGTTATTCTAGCGGGCCGAAGCAGGAAGCCGATGCACTGTAGTGATGTGGGAGAGGCAGTGATGAAGAAAACTGCATATAATCTGACAGCACTGCCTCTTCAAATCCAGTTCCTTATTTCATTCCATGTCAGGCTGGTGTCAGGCGCGGCACCGATAACTAATACTACAGTCTTTGGGACCAGAACGTGGTAATTAATCCAGAAGACTTAAGTGTATTTTACTTCTGGAGAAAAATCACTAATTCAATCGACCGGAAAATTGAAGTTTGATGCATTATTCCCTGTGAAAGTAAAGGCTGCTCTTATTACA